AGCGAATGATGAGCTGTCAATTAAGGGCTAAGTCCCGGCATGATACCCTGGGGCCTTCTCCCTCCCCATCCCCTCAGGTTCCCTCTGAGGCGGGCCACTGCAGAAACACTGGCCTAGGAAGACTCCGCTGGAGCTCAGGATTCAACCACGGTTTTATTGAGGACCTACTATGTGCTAAGCACCAGCTAAGTGCTCTCACAAACAGTATCTCCAGGCTAGAGACTAATTTTGACCTGGCCCACCTTCCCGCCCTCAGGCAGAAGCATTATGCACACAGCTCACCCGTGCCCACTTCCCTGCCTGCCCCTTTTTCTCAACCCTCCCCCTGTCACTCCACCCCCCGCCTCAGACCTTCTCCTCTTAGGGATTTTCTAGGCTGTGAGGAGCTGCTGCCTTCAGTTTCTGGCTGTGGAGTCTCCGAAGGCGCCTTTTGGCCCCTAAATTCATGAGAGAGAATCTTTCAGGGCAGGACTGATTCCCGCGCGGGGTGGGTTCCAGCGATGAGGAGACACGAAGCAAGCTGCCCCGTGATGATCTGGGAACCCAGCAGGTCCATCTAGCTTTCTGTTTTCACCCAGTTTCACTTCCTGGTTCTCCCCCAGGACCTTGCACAATGCTGGGAGCAGGCCTGGGAAAGTGCCCTGGGTGATGGTGGAAGGGGCTGGCCTGGGAGGTTGCGCTGGGTCATTTACAGCAGGAGGCTGTTTTCTTCCCCTCCTGTAGGAACGGAGGGTTCCTCTCCCCCTGCCCCAAGGGCTGGGGGCTGTAAGCTCAGGTCTTCCCAAATTTGGGGCTGTCCTTGTCCCCAGCAGGAGCCCCACCCCCGCCAGGGACACACACCCTTGACTTCCAAACGCCAAAGTTTCCCTGTGTTTCTCGACAACCATCAGGTTCTTTCTAGGCACACACTTTCTGGGGCGTGGCCCAGGGTGTGGGCCTGGGCCAAGGGGCAGTCGGGAGCAGGAACCTGGGTGCTAGAGGCTTATTGGCTGGAGTCAGATTTCTTCTGAGCCTTGGAGGCCCTGCCGGAAGCCAGCCTCACCCCTCTCAGCTCTGGGTAGAGAAGGCAAAGCCACAGAGGGGGCTAAGGCTGGCTTGCCTACCAAAAGGCCAGGGACTGTCTGAGCCCAAGGATGGCCACTGGCAGGAGCTGGAGCCCGGAGAATTAGACTAGGAGGCATCCTAGCCACACCTGGCCTCAGATAAGGTTATTTTCACAGCCCCATCTTGGGGCAAATAGCCTGCCTAGGGTAACCTCCCTAGGGGCTGGGGCATAAGTAGAAGGCACTAGGAACGGAGTTTGAACAGGATGGCCTTGCGAAGAAAGTTAGAGCTGAAAAGCCCCAGAGGACGTCAGGACCAGCTCTTTCAATGTGCAGATAAGAACCAGGTGCTGGGACAGTGAAGGCTCATTCTTGTCACTCAGCAAGCATCCAGGACCAGAGCCTGGGTCTCCGGCTCCCAGCTGGGCCCTTCCCCAGCCATGCGTGGCCTCCGTGTCCTCTCAGTCATTCTGAAAGTCCTGGGCCTTACCCACCTGACCTGCCACTTCTCCAACGGCCTCTGACACTGCCACACCCACAGCAGGGCTCCTTGGTTTTAATGCCCCAATAGGTCAGCTAGGATGGGGATAGAGGAGGGGCCCAGGATAGGCCCCAGCTCTCTCAGGCAGCTGGTAGGCAGCTAGCAGGGGTCTTGTCCAGGAGACAGAGGCTCAAGGCATCATGGAGCTGAGATACAAACTCATGGGTCCTGGGTGTCTGGGGCTTGGCCAGAGCGAGGGCCTGGCAGGGCAGGGTGTCTACGGAAGGCTGGACGGGGCCCTGTGCCCCGTGGCAGCTCTGGAAGGGCAGGGGGGTTGACCGAGGGCAGGGAGTAAAGTGCAGGACCAGGCTCTGGGCCCAAGAGACTGGGATTCCCTGGCTTGGCCATCCTGGCACTGGGGCCTCCTTTGCACTCTGTCCTGGGTGGTAGGGAGTGCGCCCAGGGCATGGAGGTGGGGACAGAGCCAGGCGTCAGGGAGCCTGCTGCTCTGAGCAGGCCAGACAGTGGGGAGATCGGGTTTCAGCCCAGCTGTATTTTTGGCTGGGTGGGTTGGGGGCAGAGCTGGGCAGGCACAGCTGCCCCTAGAGGGGCACCCCCTCTCCAGCACACACACACTACCTCCACCCAGACAGACCACCATTTACCGCCCACCCCCACACACACTGCAGGCTGAGGGGAGTCAGGTGTCAGCCTGTGGCTAGTCGATCACTTTGGGCTTCTCGAAGCTGTTGCTGAGTTTCTGTAGTGTCTTCTTGATCCGCAGAGCAGTGAGGCGGGCGGAGGGGTTGGGATACCAGCACTCCCGAATCATCTGAGCCACCCCTGAGAGGACCTGGGGGGAGGGAGAGAAAGGCAGGGGAGAGAAGCAGAGACATGGGTCAGGGAAGATGGAAAGGAGGAGGCGAGGAGAATGGCCCCATAATGGGGAGACACAAGCAGGAGACAAAGGACGAGAAGAGGGGCGATGAGAGTGTGAGAAGGAGGCGGAAGGAAAGACAGGAGCGGTAAGGGGGGGATGGAGGGATCCAGGCAGGGACGAAAAGAGTAAGATGAAAAATGGAAGAGGAAGAATGGGATGAGAATGGAGAAAGGCAGGCAGGACGGAGATGTAACTCATCTTCAGGAGCACTCAGTCCCCCTTGGCGAGTAGGGTCTGTGGAGCACCTTCCCCCACCCTCTACTGCCACCGAGACCCAAGAAAGGGGAGATATTTCAGTCTCGGGGCTACCGCACCCCCATCAGACCCCAGTGCTGAGGGCTGTGTCTCCCAGCCCCACCAACCCTGGCTGGGCCCAGTGAACACTGGAAGAATGGGTGGTGAGCACTGCCCCCCAAATGCACATGTCCAGGGAGGAACCCACCCAGGAAGCTCAGATTTAACCCCCTCAAGCTGGTTCTTAAGAGGGATTGTATGCGTGTGTACATCTGAATGCATGTGTGGCTTTTTGTGGATATGTATGTTGTATAAAAATGTACATGTGTCTATGTATACATACATGTATGTATGTGTGTACATTTACTCATTCTTTTAATAAACATTCACTGAGCACCAGCTGTGGGCCAGGCACTGTCATAGGTAATGGGGAGATAAGGGTTACAAAGGAGACATGCTCTTTGTCTTCACAGGGTCAGCATTCTGGCACATACTTGCACGTGTATGTATCTGTGAGTGAATATTTAAGTAGAAGCCTGTGCGTGCCTATATATGTTTATATACAAGTGAGTATGTGTATTACAAAGGTATGTGAAGTATTTTGAGAAAAGATAAAAACAAACAAAAACTTCATAGTAAGGCTCTGACTGGTTTGGCTCAGTGGATAGAGCGTCGGCTTGCGGACTGAAGGGTCCCGGGTTCGATTCCGGTCAAGGGCATGTACCTTGGTTGCGGGCACATCCCCAGTAGGGGGTATGCAGGAGGCAGCTGATCAATGTTTTTAACTCTCTATCCCTCTCCCTTCCTCTCTGTAAAAAATCAATATAATATTTAAAAAAAACAAAAAAACAACTTCATAGTAAGAAATGTAGCAGAGAACCTCTGATTTCCCCAGCAAGGTGAAGGTTCTAAAAATCCCAGAATAACTAGAGTCCCTCTGGGGTGCACGGGCCAGAGAGATGGGAGGGTGTGGCCAGGGAGGACCCTGGGATCTGCCCCCTAGAATCTATCCCGGGGAAGCCGAGGCCTCAGACACAAGTTCCTGGGCCCAGAAATTCCAGCTGTGAGCCACCACCCCATGCCATCCCAGCCCCGCCGGGCCTCACCGGATCTGCAGCCAGCCTGTTGTGGATGGTGGGGGTCTGCTGGTCAACACACACCACCTTCTTCATGTCCTCAAAGCTGGGATCATTGGGCACCACGTCATAGAAGGGTGGCTTATAGTCCTCCACAATGCCTGGGAACCGGGGGTGAGGGGGGACAGGGCAATCACTCAGGACCCCAAGAAGGCCCAATACTACCTAGAGGAGAGCCTTGATCACCCTCTGTCCAGGGGCCAAGATACCAGTTGTCTGACCACGGTACCCTTTAGAGGGACACTATAATGTTATAAATATATTTATAGATAATAATTACTACTACCATTTATTTTGCACTTACCATGTGCCAGGGATTGTGCTATAAATGCTTTATATGCATTATCCTGTCTTTACAATAATCTTATGTGGTGGGTACTATTATTACCTGTGTGTTACAGATGAAGAAACTAATGCTCGGAGAAGTGGAGGCCAAGGTTACACAGCTAGTCATGGCAGAGCCAAGACTTCAACTCCTCTCATTGGATCCCTAGGCCAGATCTTGTTCCAGCCTTTCCATAGCTGCTTCCTACCCAGGCCTGGGCACTGCTCCCAGGTCCCAACTATCACAGATGCCCGTAATTCCCATGTTTACTGTCCTAACTGCATTGCATTAAATCCTCACAATAACGCTAGGAAGTAAGCAATGTTATGGGAGCCCCCCTCTATAAGCCATGAAATTAAGGCCAGAGTAGTTAAGGAGCTTATCTAAATGCATAGGTAATAAGTGAGAGTTAGGACTTAAGCCCAGAAAATCTAACCAAAGGCCATGCTCTTGACCTCCATGCTACACTGAAGGGAAGGTAGCTGGTTGATTGTTGGGTGAGGATGTGGAACCAGGAGAAGGGGGAGAAAACGTCTCTCTTAAAAGAAAGGAATTTTTACCCAAGTCCAAATAACACCCACCCCCTCAGCCAGCAGCACCTCCTATACCAAGTGCACAGTCCTTAGCAGGAGCTTTCTGAACATGATGCCTGCGGAGCTGCAGACGGCCCAGGCAGGAGAGGCCAGGCCCGGAAAAAGTGCCCCACGCCCCACCCTGCTTCCCAGGCCGGCCGTGGACCAGGGCCACACAGCCACAGCCACAGCCCCGGAGAGCCTGCGCCAGCTGTTCTCCCCATGGCGGGCTTCCAGGCCAGCCCCCGAGCCGCTCGCGCCCTAATCAGTGCTGCACAGAGGCCTGAGCGTGTCTAATGGGCCTTTAATCAGTGCCGGGGCTGACACCAGATTACAGTGTTTATAATGCGCCACGAATCTGTGTGGGGCTGATTCCCTTGCCCAGGAGCCTGCAGTCAGCCTCCCTTCGGCCCTGGCTGGTCCAACCTTCCTTTCCCGCCGGCAGCCTGGTCCAAGGGGCCTCAGCTCCGTCAAGGTGCCCCCTTCCCTGACCCCAGCCCCTAGAGCTGACTCTAAAAGCTCATGGCTGAAGGGGCAGGAACCTGAGCCCCTTGAGTCTCCCAGAGGGACTGGTTAGACCTCAGCCTCCACCCAGCGGTGACTGCTGAGAGCAAACGAAGCCGGGCATGGAGCTGGCCCCTCACAGGTGCTCAGGAAATGAGAATGTCCCTCTTCCCAAGGAACAGAGCTCCAGTCATATCTTGAGGGTTGTCTCCAAACTGTCAGGACTCCTGGCAGCCCCTCCCCATGGGCAGCCTCCACACTGACTGACCAGCCTCTCCACCCAGTCCAGACACCACCCATCATCCATGCACCCCAGGACTGGGAAGGCACTGGCCACAGGGCTGCCCATGGCATGGGGCCAGCAGGGATGAGGTCCCTCTGCCTGCTCCAAGTCACTCTAAATCTGAGTCCCCTGTGGCACTTACAGTAACAAGAGGAAGCAATAAGCAGGCAGTGCAGGCACTATTGTATCTCGCATGTTTTGTGGTCAAGGAAACCAAGGACCAGAGAGGTTTAAGTAGCACAGTGATAAACAACACTGGCCCTAGAGTCAGAGTGCCTGGTTTCAGACCCTGGTGCTGCATCTAACCAGCTGTAGTTCTGTGCCCCAGTCCCCTCATCTGTAAAATGGGGATGGTACTGTGTCAGGGATTTATTACGACAACAGTAATTGCTACTAATATTTACTGAGCTCCAGATCTGTCCTAAGTACTTCATTTGAATTATCTCAACAATTGGAAACTATTTTCATTCTCACTTTACAAATGAGGAAACTGAGAACAGAGAGGTTAGGTAACATGACGATGGTCAGTGGCAAAATCAGGAATTGAACCTAGGCAGTCTGATTCCCAACCCACGCTCTTAACTACTGAAGCGATACCAGCTTTCTGCCAACAGGGACGATTAAATAAGACAATACATGTATATCACATGGCATCTGGCACATCTTTAAGCTCAATAAATGTTAGCTGCTATTAATATTCCTGTTATTATCACTTACCCAAGATTTCACAGCCAGAATCACAGACTCGCAGACTCAGATGAACCTTAAAAGGTGGCTCAGCTGAACCAGCTGGTGAGTAGCAATGAAGGGGATACAGGCAGTGTGGCCACAAGCCCCTCGGGCCACAGGCACCAGCCACGCCAGGAAGCCCCCATCTCCTGCCTGTCTCTCCACTTGCCCCCTCCCCCCGCCTCACCCTGTGCAGGGCAGGCCCTCACCATTGACGATGGTCCGACGGGTGATCTCCCACAGCACCAGGCCAAAGGCCCAGATGTCCGTCCACTTGTAGGACTCGAAGCAATCGGTGCGGATCTGCTCATCCAGCACCTCGGGGGCCATGTACCGCTTGGTGCCCACTCGCGGGTTGTTGCCGATGTCCAGATAATCGCTACCCTGCGAGTGCATCACAGCCAGGCCTGTGGGTACCAGGGCTGTCACTTCTGCTGCTCACCCCAGCCCACAGACAGGGTGGCCCCAGAGGCTGCGGTCCAGGGGGCAGGGTGGGGTTGCAGGCAAACGGAGACCTGCTCTGAGGGGGGCTGGGAGAACAACCGGCTCCCTTTCGTTTACTTGTGTAGCGCCCTCCGGGTGCCCAAGAACCCAGCGAGATGTGAGTGGGCAAGGCAGGCATTATTACGCCCATTGCACAGAGCAGGACCCCAAGGCCCATGAGTAGGAGCGATGTGGTCAGTGAAGCGTGGAGGATAGCCCGGGTTCCTGGCTTCCTGCTCCTTTCTCCCAACTCCTGGAGCCCGGGGTGGGGTCGGGTGGTGGAAGGAGTTTAAGCTTCAAAAGAATGTTGGGCAACCTGTGGGGCTCTTGCAGAGAGGAAAGGAGACAGCAAGCATCTCTTTAAGTTTTAAAGCGCCAATCAGAATCGCCGTGGTCGCCAGGCACGCACACAGACACCTAGGTGACGGTGGAGCCAAGTGGACACGGGGAGAGCGCACGGCCTGCGAAGGGGCCGCCCCTTCCCTGCCCCGCCCCTTGGAAAGGCCCACCTTAGTCCCCACCCTCCGCAGCTCACCCAGGTCTGCGATGCAGCACTGCAGGTTGCTCTTGACTAGCACGTTGCGGCTCTTGAGGTCGCGGTGGGCGATGGCCGGTTTGCCCTGAGTGCCGAAGATCTCCACGTGCAGGTGCGCCAGGCCGCAGGCCGCGGACACGGCCAGCCTCAGGGCCAGGCGCGGCTCCAGCGTCTGCCTCTGCAGAAAGTCGTAGAGCGAGCCATGCTTGTGGTAGTGCGTGATGAGCCACAGCTGCGTGCTCGAGTTGCGGGAAGTCATGTCCGAGGCTATAAAGCCTATGGGCAGAGGGTCAGGTGGCTCAGCCAAGGGTTTAGAGATGAGGAAGTCTGGACTGGGCGGGGTCAGGGCTGGAGGCACAGGATGGACTGAGTCAGGGCAGACTGGGGCTGGGGTGCTGGCTGCTCTGGCTTAGGGCACAGAGGAAGCCGGAGTCAGAGGTTGGTTGGGGCTGAGGCCGGGCTGGGAGTCCTTCAGGGTGGGGTCAGTGACCAGAGGCTGGGGACTCCAGCCTTGAGTGCAGGGGATGAAAGCCGGGGCCTGGCGTAGTTCCCCCACCCCTACCCT